TTACCAACTGTTTACAGATTTATTACTGTTGTATTTGTAAATGGACTGTAAAAAAGACCAGCCTGAAAGCTGAACAGTTGGACGCATCGGTATGTAGAAACATTCATATCAGACTAGATTCCAGAATGAGTATATTTCAGTTAGAATTTTTTCCAAGAAATGTGAAGTATTGCATTTCCCATAGAGTATTTTGAGGTTGGTTTTTGTTTTGTGTTTTTTTTTTTTTTTAATTTATCTTAGTACATTTTAGCAGAGTAAACTGTAACGAATACTCAGCTGTAACTTAATGGGAAGTTAGGCAATGCTGAAAGGTTTTGGTTTTTACTTGGTTGTTATTCCAAACAGACTATATCTACTAATAAAATGTACCTTGATAAGGTATTTATTTTAGCCAACCAAAAATAGAAAGTTAAGGGTACCCAGGGCACCTCACTCTGCCTCTGCTTCATTGTGTTGGCTGTAGAGTTGCTTCCTTTAACATTTTCAGGCTGTTCCAGTGGGAATCCAATGGAAATTCATTTGCATCAAGTAAACAGAAATTCCTGTGCTATAGCAGTGTTTCCAGGTTCAATTTAAAAGATCAAATTTTAGGGGCACATAAAATAAACAACTAACTCCTTTAACTGTCTTCATCAGTGTCGATATAAACAAACAGTGTTGACTCTGACTCATCTGTCATACCCATTCCCAAAATATACACTAAGCCACTCCTGAGTGGCTTGTTTACTATTTAAAAATATAGATACAGATGCAGCATTGTAGAATTTTTCTTTTAAGATCTTGGAAGGGCTAATATATCTGCATCACCTCAGTCAGCTACTTCTCTCAACAGCTATGAGGAATTATCAAAATTTCTTGTAAGTGCTTCTACGTAATCTTGGTACTTTCCTGACTTTTCGTTGCTTTTCTGTTTTCTTTTCCTTGTCGATTTATATTGCCTGAAAGTTTTGCTGCTGTGCATGGGGTAGAAAGAGTGGGTCACTGACTGGTTGTATCGGTGAGAATGCACCTCTCAACTAAAGCTGGAGCATTTTACCCTTTTTTAGAGGTCTTGGTTACTTCAAATAGGAAACAGTGGAAGCCAGCTACTGTGTAATGCAGGTGCACACTCTTATATGGTAGCAGTTGCTATGTTGTATTCCTTTTGCTTTAATTTGGGCATATTCAGCTGACCTGTCATCTGTTTCTCCAACAAATTTAATAGGAACTTTAATCTGTGAAGCTAGTAATTCTTTCTGGAAATCCTGCTCTTCATGACTTCATGGCTTTGACTTGGGTGGTTTACCTTGAGGTGGCTGTTGTAATTTCTGCTCCCAGCTGTCCTCCGTGATCTCTGAGATTTCTGCCCCTGCTCCAGAAGGCCTCAGCTCTCCAAGCAGCTGCTGCATTGTTACTGTGCCACACTGGAGTATTAGGGTAGCTTGAAGTATGTGCTGTGTAACCCTAACACACAGGGATGTAAGCTATGGCATCTCAGCTGCCTCGTAAGTATCAGAGCTGTCCTTGTGGTGTGAGCAGGAATCAGAGAGAGGAGTAGGAACTAAACGATCTGTCTCAAGGTAAGTTTTGTTACAGCCCAAATCCCTTTTCAGTTTGCAGCTGTAGCTGCAGACCTCTCTCTTAAATTCCTTCTTCTACTGTTTATTCAATCTTCAGTTGAGTTTCTGCCTGTATGGTCTTTCTCTTAAAAACGCAAGCAGTCCTGGTCATGTAGAACTATTCTGGAAGAAATCTGATTACTCCGCCAAGATATTTTGTCATGTTTTGCACAAAATGATATTTTTGAAAGGAAGGCTTCATGATTTTTATGTCTTTTTCTTGATTCTTTGGATTCACAGAAACTCTCAAAGAGGGGGGGATGTTCCTGGAAGTCCACCATCATTAAGATGCTGAACTTAAATGTGTTCCCCTAAGGAAACAGAGGAATCTTTTCAGAGTGGCTAAAGTGGCTAAAAAAGAGGCACTTTAATTAAAAACCATCAGCTTGCTACCACTTCTGCCCCTGCCAAGGAAATTTACCTGTAAGCAAACAGTGCAATCTGATGATTTCAAAAGATTTAGCAACCACTTTGATATTTTTTTAAAAGGCCTAAATAAATGAAAACTATTTGTAAGTTCTTTTGGTTTAGATGTTGAATTTTAATTATCTTTCAGCTACCAGAATAATGATTGGCTCTGAGATGGGACTTCTGTAGCTATTTGAAGGAATTATGTAACAGTGTCCTTTTGTGTGATAAAAGTAATCTGAAATGTGCCTTTTTAAGTTCCCTATGGTGATAAACATGTCTCTTAAAACTAAATTCTGTATCATTTCAGAGTCACAGGGTTACAAAAAGCTTGTGCAAGATTTCCAAAGCAAATCGATGTGAATATGTTATGTTATGTGCAAGCATAATGAAGTGGGTGCATTTGGGATCTGTTGATCTTTGCAGGTCAGATCATCTGAACAGTAAATACATAACTGGTCCAGTATTTCTGGATGTTTTGGGGTTAACTATATGTACACAGTAGATTGGTTTTGCTGTTCTAGTAGCCCATAATTTCATAATGTGCAAATGTGCAGCCAGTTTGATGCTATTCCTTTTTATGCTTCTATATACATAGAAAATATAGGTCGATGTATGGTATCTTCAAATTCCACTCTACTGATTTTTTCCAAGCATATTTATTGTATGAAATCTTGAAAAATACAGTAGTTCTGTACACTGATAATTGAAACAGCCGTTCAGCCTTCATTTTGCCCCAATAGAGATTTCTACTTTTTTTGCTGTGGTGAATTCTAGTCCTGTAGAAGTGATATCTTTCTCCAGAATAAATCCAAATGTATTCTAAAAAAAATTAGTCCATTGTAGAGATCTTGATTCTTAACAACATACTGTCTGCTTCTACCACAATCAAGGACAGAGAATTTTGTTTAACAACTATTTAATGAAAACATTTTGCTTCCCTTGCTGGGAATTTCTCATTCCATATGTATGCAAGTAAATGCCCTCATTTTACCTTTATCTTATTACACTTGCCTTGTTTGCCATGTGCATTTTTAGTATATAATTTCTTCTTTTGGCTAACTATTCCTGTAAATAGATGTTTTAATAATCCCCATTAAAAGCAATGTAGTTAGTTGCACTTCTGCATTTCACTTGTATACAGTTGTTCTTGGTTTCTTACTCAAAATCCACAACACTATGGGCATTTCAAGGGTAATAGGAATACTGTTATTCTGTCTGTGCTGTTAGACTAGGTACTAGTAAATAAAAAAAAGCACAGGGAAATTTTCTGGATATAGTTTATAAGATGAACCTGCCTGTTTGTTATTTGCAGAATTCTGTTAGTCTTCAGGTATTCTCCTGTAAACTTTTTCTATCCTTGACACTTTGAACAAGTAAATTGTTCACCAAAACCTAGTTGCTCACTGAAACTGTATGCTAATTCACGTTATGGTTGGCAAATTTTGAAAGTTAAGACTGCCTTGAAAACAAAATATAATTCACAAAAGTTGTATCACCTTTTGTGTAAAAAAAATTAGTTCAACTAAAAAAGCTCTTTTATTTTTCTTTTAATTCATCTGGTGAACTCATTCACACAGCTGTAGCTATGACTGATTTTCCAGATAAATATGAGTGAAAGGTAATGAAAGTTACATTTTCCTCTGTGTAAACTGTTATTTTCATACACAGCTACTAATACATTTGCCGCCTCTCTCCTAAAATTTCCTCCCTTTTTCCTTTTTATTAATTGATTTTGTAAATAAAATTCACCAATTGCTTGTGCCTAACAGAAGAGTTCTACAATTTGCTGCCTCTGTATTGCTTGGAACAAGACAAGCCTCTTGCACTCTGCTCAGATAAATGCTTGAAACCTTTATAAGTAATGTATTATGAGTGGTCTGAAAAATAACATTTAACAGGTAATTGGGTTAGTGTCCCTTGCAGCTCGGTTGAGGTTTTCAGTTTCATAAAGCCAAAACAAGCAATAACTGAAAACCATGTTACGTTTACTGATATGTAGACTTTACACTTGTTATTTGGGGATCCCTGGGCCTACTTACCATTTTGTTGTCCTTCCAGCGTGCCTCACAATATGACTTTCACGTGAAGTGTGTCACTACAGATATGTTAGTGTTTATAGATATGTATCTCTAGAAAGTTACCTGTTAAGTATTAAAACCATATTACTGAAGTTTTAGTCAGTATCTTTAGCTATGTTCTGACCAGTTGCCTGCTTCAGCATTACAAATTAGCAGGTGGGAGAAGAAAAGGAAAAAAACTCTGAAGATGTTACCAGTTGCTGGAAATGAAATAGCTGTATTTTTATTTTGCTCTTATAAAATTAATTTTAGTTCCTGTGTTAAATACTTAGTTTTGATTGATAATAAAATCGCTGTGTTTGAGGAGAGAATAATACTACACTTGAAGGATTTTCATAATTAGAAACCAGAACATTTTCACATCTTAAATTTCACTTCTTTGTTAGGATTTGAGGAGGGAAACACTTGCATTTGATCCTCAAAGATTTGCTCGAATTTGTAATTGCTAAAGGATTTTAAGTGAAAGCTTTTAATCCATGTGAACTACTTACATTAATACATACAAATACCTAATGAAAAGAATACTGATCAGCTTTCAGTTGGTAAAACGTAGAAATCAACTAGCATGCTAAAAGATTCAGGTTGAAGCTAATTGCAGCGCGAAATAGTTTGATAAAATTTTAATACTGAGTTTTGGTATTTTAATAGGCTCTTGTGTAATATTCAAACAGCTGAGCACAAGTAAGTAAATGCTAGTGGGAAAGTATTCTATTATGTAATATAAAACCATATTGTAACTAGCTTATTTGCTAAAAGCTACCATTTCTAGAAGCTGAATCTTTTTTGTATTATACAAAATGTTATCGTTTTATGTGTGTTACTGAGGAACAAATCAACTTTTAATGTTCTTGTTTCCTGTCATATTAAGGTGCATTATTTACCATACTGGTGTAGCAAGCTGTTCCTAATTTCATCTGAATGCTTATCACATGCTTCTGGCAAGTATGCTTAGGCAGAGAGATTTTGACAAGAAAGCATGCGATTGCATGTTTAACAAGTCTTCAAACTTTGTTTTGAATTTCACCTTTAAAACAAAAAGCATTGAAGCAGGCCTATTGTTTGAATAACCCTCCTCCATTAAGTACGTGAATCTTTACCCCTCCAGGCTATGTTCATTTGCATTTTATCTCTGCCACTCTTCCACACTTTTATTTCACTCTTGACCCTGTTTCTAGGAGATGTGCGAGTAAGAAGTCGGGCAGGATTTGAAACAGAGAGAAGAGGTTCTCATCCATACATTGATTTCCGTATTTTTCACTGTAAGTATTTAAAAGCAGATAAATGACAAATAAACAAAGGCTTCCATTAATTTTAACTACTGAGCCTCTAAAAATAAAGTTAGCAGCTTATATAGCAAGACCATTTTTTTATACTTGTTAGGAAAATCTTTCATGCTACTTCATTACCAAAAAATAGAAGAGGAAAATCTTCACGGCTAATTTTTTTTTGTTTTAAAAATATACTTTAAACACAATTGATTTTAGACTTGAATCCCTGTGCAAATCCCTATCTTATATACAGCATATACAGCTACTGATTTGTGTGCTAAGTTCTTACCAGACACACACAATCAGTTGAGAAGAATACTTTCCTGCTTTTATAAAGCAGCAGAAGGGCCTGGTTTGATGTTTGAAGAAAATTACAGTAGATGTCAATATTCTTGACCTCATCATACTCAAGTAACATTACAGTTACTCAGACATGTAGCTAGGACTTAAATTTTTTGACATAGACAAACTTTAAAGAAAGATTAAAGTGTTACAAGAAAAGAGCAGACAATTCTTTTGATTATGTGTTTTAGGAAACATTGTTTATGTAAAGCATTACAGAATTATATTTTGGGATAATTTCACTTTTTTCTACATCTATATTGTTAAATATGTCAGTAGTTGTTGTAATATAAAAGCTTCAATAACCACCAAACCAATATGCAGCAAAAGTTCAGGGCATTTAAGTCTTAATTAAATTATGCCAATAATATTAATGTATTAAGTGTTGTAGCTATACCAACATTGTATCAGAATAATTCCAAGTATTCTGAATGCAATGGAAAGATTTAGAAAAAATGATAACAAGTGTGGTTGTTATAATTACTTTATTAATAAAAATGAGTGGCAGAAACTAGTCTAATTAATATTCTGATCTTAACTGATTACTCTTTTTAAAAGTAGATCACTACTTAAATTTATTTAAAACTACTAAACTCTTAGTTTCATTCAAAAGTTAGTATTGTAAAATAGGTGAGAAAACAAAGTTTGAAGAGTATGCTATATTGATTTTTTTTTCAATGAAGAGGGTAAGATTTCCATCTCAAGTCCTGATAATTCTACTGAGTATAATAATTCTCTGTAGAAATAGCATGCTATTTATGAATTACGTAACTGTCTTTTCGTGTATATATATGTGGCATTTCATGCTGATATGGGAAAATACTAACAAAAGTATTATAAGAACTACCTGTTAAAAGGCAGTCAGGTATGATACTATTGCTGTTGTCAAATTAACTGTATTTTTTATGGTACTCATGCTGTTTCTTTTCATTCTGATGTCTGTGCATCAGGCAGATCATGACTAATCAGGAAAAGGATTTTCACACCCTTTCTTCTTGCCCCTACTTGTTCAGGCACAGGCACCAACTTTTAGCAACATCAACTGTGGTGTCTGATGACAGCAAAGAATGTTGCTAGGAGGCCCAAAAAATTCTTTGGCTACAGCTTCCCTCTCAAGTCAGCTGCTGTGGCAGTTTTCAGGGTTTCCATATTATAGTCAGTTTTTTTTTGCACTTGAGGATTGTGGCCTCTTGCAGCATTGCTTTTTGACTTCAGACTCCTGCTACATTGTGGAGTTTCTTTCAGTCAGTAAGGAATTCAGCCCCATCTCTCACCATGTCACTAGATTATCTATTAATTTAGATAAATGTTTCTTTAAAATCAAGAAAATGTTTTCTTTTTCTCTGCCATGCTAATTGAGTCCTGATTGGTGTTTCCTTCATTGTTTTAAGCAAAAGAGTTTTAGTATTGTACTTTCAGACTGTGAGTAGAGAGAAGTTGTAGGAATCAGATCTCATTTTTAGGATATTCTCCCTGCCATTCACTGGTAACTCCAGAAGGATTTGGACAGACACATAGAGCTACAGGGCTGAAAAATGTTCACCTATATGAGCAATAGACAGTATGTGAGAGGAGCTGGCCAAGCCAGATGGGTCGTTTTTGGGGCGAAAACTGGACTGAACAAGTGTCTTCTCTGCAGCTGAAGCAGACTAAACCATCAGTGTTGGCTTTTTTTTTCCCACCACAGCTGCACACTGAACATCAGTAATGCATGGATATGCTTCCTTCATGGTGTTTGTAAAGTTTCTCTGTAACTTTGTTCTAGTGTCCACTAACTTTACTCTGTGGTTCTAAATGTTTTGCAGTGATCATTGCTTATGTGTTTCGCAGATGACTTCTATACTGGCTATCATTCACAGTGTTGAAGCATTACTGCCATTCTGCATTTTGCTTAGCTAACTTCTGTTGTTTAGCATTATTTTCTCTTTCTGTCAATGATGTTTTGTGAAGAAGATTGAACGTCTTTCAGGAAGTCCAGCTACTAATTTGCTGACCAATTGTTTTTCTAATATTTTATTGATAGGCTCTTACCCAGTATTTTATTGTTAGGTTTGAGGAATACTGAATTTAAAATGCATTACTCTATTTTTTTTTTTTTTTTTTTAAT